ATAAAAAACTTGAATTATAATAGTTAGGTCCTGTAAAGTTTATAATACTGTAATGTTAAATGTTATATTGATGTACGCTATAAAAGTGTCCTTGGGTGAGTTCACAATAGATACTTTTCATTTATATAATTTTTAAATTAAGAAACATATGGAAATATAAAAAAATAAAAAAAAAATTCTAAAAACCCTCTGGTTTCTTATAAACTTTAAGAACTTCTCTAAACCTTTTGAGTATCTTTATGAAAATATTTAGTTTTCAAAACCCCTACCACCATCTTTTTTGTTAAACATGCATATTACGGGACTCAAATTTCCATATAGCGATGTCCTAGAGTCGTAGACGCTAGAGATAATATATGAGACCAAATACATTAATTTTGCGATTGTAAAAACTAAATACTAAATACAATATTATTGGTTCAATATGGGAAATGGGAATGTTCAATACATACAATAATTAACTTAATTTGTATTTTGTCAGCGCAAAATAAGATTATAGAATTCAAAATAATTAATTCAGATAAAATAATTTATGTTAAGAACTTTTGAATAATCAATTAATGGTTTCCAAGAATTTATTTACTTCTATTATAAACATTTCACAATGAATTGTAAATATTGCTCAAGATTATGATTCAAAGTTATGAAATTTCTAAGAAAAATTTTGACAAATATATTTTTTTTATGTTGTGCTTATAATAAACATTTGAAAGTCAATTTCTTTTTATCACATCATTGTCTTGCAACTTAAAAGCTTAAATTCTATAATTTATTTTTAATTTTAATGTACATATTTGTTCATTTCAAACCGTAAATCTGAGTCAGTGTCAATTTGTTTTTTTTTTCTTTTTGAATGAAAAATAAAATTATAGAATAGGAACACAGCAGTTTTTATTTCCAAACAGTTAACAATATAAATTGGTTTCCCGAAAAATAAATTTTATATTTTTTTGTTTTAAAATTGAAAAAGTGATCATATTGACAAAAGAAAACAAATATCATTCAGATATAATTTGTACAAAAGCTAAAGTTGTGTAAGTGCTATTATACTAACTGCAATACTTTTAATAAATTCGGACCAATATAGTAATTTGTGCAACAATACATAAATACGTTCATAAATTGGGGCTTATTCTGAGTATCGTATCACTACTCGTAAGTGATATTGATATTTATCAGAAAAAAGTTTCCAAAACTTTATTATAGACACGAACCATTTGCATGAACTGGTTTGCGTGCAAAATAATAATTCTGAACTTTTTACAATATTTATTACTATCACTTTAGGATTCGATACATAGAATAATCCCCATTATTCTTATTATTATTACAATTAGCGCCAAAATAACGATTGAATTCGACGGCTAATTAGATCAGTAAAGATATACTCGTACATACTTTATATAGATTTTGTTGTTATAAAAAGAATTTGTGTATAAAATTTTAGCCTTCTATATTAAAAGTTGCAGTATAAATAGACACATGATGGGATAGGCTAACACTAAAAATAAATCTGGTAAAAATAGTTTCGTTTTCACAAAAATCGGTTTGCAGTCGAAGATTATACCTTATTTGTCAAAGTCTGATATTTAGCACTTGCAGTTTAAATTAAATTCTACAAAAATTTTTAGCATACGTAATGTTGTATTAAGTTAGTCTTTTAAATGCACAACTTTATCTAAGGAAACCATATTTATAACAGATTGTATTATTGATATTAAATCACTAAAACATAATTATATAAAATACATTATAAAATATAATATTTAATAGCTTTGCAAAAGTAATAATCGCATAATAAGAACCTGTCATAACCAAGAGTAAGATAGACATTCTTTCATTATTTTCGTATTTTATATTTCTTAAAATGTCGGAAATACATGAAAGCGAATCATAAAAGACAAATTTCATGGAATTTCGCTATTAATATTGTTTATCGTATATTAAAATACATATACATACATAAATGCATGAATATAATATATATATAACATTAAATACTCTTAGAGGAAATTGACTTTAAAATTTTTGAATATTCATAATTAATGTTAATATTTTGAAACTATGGTTATAATTCCATGCTTAATTATTCATATAATAGAAAGGAAAGGATTAAAGCACGTATGTAGAAAGCACGTATGTATAAGCAAACAAAATTGAAAGATTAATAATCTTGCAAACAATCTTGAGAAAATCTGCCATAGATGATGGAAGGTCGTTCAATATACCCTAAAATAAAATAATCTAGATGCGTTGAATTCTCTGTTCTTATCATCCAATTGATAGTTCCAGAACGAAGAAATAATTTCTCACCACTGCAATTTACGATTTTGAGGGGTATAATATTGTTAAGCTGCCAATTTGTCTTTGACGAAAATTGTAACGAGTTGCGGTTGTAACATAATTGCGGTGAAACGCAATAGCAAAAATAACACCCTATATATTACACTGATTTGCAAATAACATCAAAAGTTTCAAATTTCGTTTATTGACCTGCCTATGCGCAAACCTAATATTTACATTTCACAAACATACATGCATATATATAATGAAATACAAATAAAAATGAAATTGTCAACAAAATAAATTAAATAATTAAATTTTAAAAATATATTTTAAAAAAATTTCAATAGTATAAAGTCTAAAAATTTAATTGATTTTTTTTTTTATTTTTAATACTATTTTTAGAGCATTATTTATTTATAATATAAATTTTGAGTTGTAAATAAAAACAAAATAACTACATACATAAATACATGTAATCAACAACTTAAAATTTTATATTTATTTCTTTTATTACAAAAAATTTAATAATAGAAAGTTGACAAGAACAAAAAATAGTTTACCTTGTCTATTGGACTTCCTATACTCAGAAGTTTATTGTTTATAAACTTTAAAAACACAACAAATGCGTAAATATTATAAAAGAACATAAACATTTTTTTTATTTTTAAAAAGTTTTTAATTAAAAATAAAGCCATCAAAGAATTTTAGAAAATTTGCGTATTTGGCATTGTGACAGGCAAATTTATTTGTGTTCTTATTTGAAAACAAAAATATATTTTTTTATTATTTCGGGCAAATATGCATACATTTGCGGTATAAAATGACGTTAATGATTCAGAAATATTTTAAAACAAATGTAAATTTAATCATAATTTTATGATAAAAAGAATAATTTTTCAGTTGATTTCAACATATTTTTAAGATATTTTTAAAAATAAATAGCTATTAACCTTCTAATTTAAAATTTTATTGAAGAATGAAATTTTTATTATTTTGACATATCAATGATTGCAAACGATTTTGAGTTGATCTAATCTAAAAGATAGGCCAAATATGTGTTTATAAATGGTTTAGTAATATTAAGAAACTTCAGAAATAATTTTAGAAATTGCAATAGATTCTAATTTAAATTTGACTCTAAAATAGATGAATAACCGTAAATTTACACTTAATGCAAATAAAATAAAGTTTATGAAATTAAAGCAGTAGTTGAAGAAACAGTTGAAGCGGTGCATTTTGTATAATCAAATTAAAATCAGGTGTCGCCAACTGGATTTGGAAATTATATTGAAAATACGTATTTTAGATGTAAATCCTATACTTGAGAATAACAAAGTAGATGGTAATCGAAAGATCATTAGGTTTTCGAATATTTTTGAAATGACATACTGAAGTTATTTTGTTCTATATTTTGTATTATGTATTATGGTGAAAAAATTTTTGGGAATAAAACTCTGAACGAGTTATTGAATGCATTTGAAAATATTTTTGAGTATTTTTTTAATAAACAAATATTCAATATTCAAATTTCTTAAAATTATTAAATTAATCACTAAATTAAAAGCTATTATTGAAAAAATTATTAAATAATTTTGTTATTAAATTTCATTCTAAATTTTCACTTTCTGATTTATGAATTTATTGTCGATTTATTTCCTGTATTTTTAATATAAATCTATTTAAATTACAATTCTACAAATCAAAATAAACTATATATTATATAAAACAATATTTTTAAGAATTTTTTGTTTTACTATTAATCGTACTGGATTATAAAATATAATTAAATACATACATACAAGCATACATATATTTTAAATATTTACATATATCTGTATTCAACACTATTGCATACTCATAAAATAATAATTCTTAATATTGCGATCATTTTTTTATAAGCAAAACATTTGTTAAAATGTTATATACGAGTACTGTGGTATAACACAATCACATTCGATCTTATTAAATATATGAATACAAATTATATAATATTTATTTAAACTTATGGTTTGTATATCGTAAGCTTATAACAGACTAAAATGAAAAACAAAAATAAATAAGAAAATTAAAAAAAATATGTACATAGTACATTACAAGTACTTACTCTTAATACTAAAAAGCTAACATGTATATAATTGTACTTTTAATATTAACTATGGGACAATTATTGCGGTATACACATATACATATATATGATGTTATGCAGGTGAACAATACAACAGCTATATTAAGAAAAACATAAGCTTTTTTTTCTGTAATATTCATACATAAACTTATATAAACTTGGAGTCCCCATCCAGACAATTATTTCATATATAGAATGCTGATTACCTCGATTTGGACCAATATAAATAAAGAACAATTTTACAATCTCGGATTACTCGTTTTATGTTCTAAACGGAATTAACTACAATAGTTATATTTAAGAAAAAACAAAAAAGCAAAACAAAAGGCAAAACGGATATTTAAAATTTTCACATTTAATTTAATTCAATAGAGAAAAAAATAAATTATTTATTAAAAATCTTGAAAGCATGAAAAATAACTATAGTGAGAAAATTAATCATAATATGTAAATTATATTTACAATAGAGAGTTACTAGTGGAATTAATATTGTATAAAAAATTTTATAGTGATAAAAATTATATTAATTATTGTGTTTAAAAAAATTTTACAAAATAAAGAAATTTATAAATTTAATTAAGAAAAAAAACAAAGAAAATTGTTAATGCCATTTAGGGCTAATTAAAAAAAATTTTAAAAATTATTAGAATAAATTATTACAAATCGAAAAGATTTCTTTTTATTATCCACAAAATGCAATCACATCAGAGTTCTTTATCACAAGAGAATCATAAAAATAATATATTATGCCATAAAAGGCGACCATCAATTGGAAAATCTATGCCTGTAACGGCTCTTCTACTTAATTATCCGCCACCATCAAAAGGATATGAAACACTTGGTACAGATGGTTTGTTACCAGAAGAACTTGAAAAACCACCCTTATATTTTAGAGTTCATGAATCGAATAATGAACTGACCGATGATATTAATCAAAATTTCGAAGATTTTGATGATACTAGCTACGAATTTGTTAATCATAATGAAAAAGTCGATAATAATAATGATAATTTATTTGAAATAATTAATCCATCATCAAAAAATGAAAAGGAAACTGATAGTGATACTACTACCCCCGTGCATCGATAACGATAATACAATAATGATAGCAGGTAATTTAAATAATAAAGTTGTACCATGTGGTGAATGTTCTCAAAATAATTTTTCGATAGATGAAGAAAGTAAAAATTCAAATGAACCATCACCATTAAAGAAATTATGTGAGAAATTATGTAATGAAGATTGTAAAAGTTTTCAAGATATGGAAGATATTAAAACAATAAAAAATGATGAAATCCAACCAAATTCATCAAAATTCATAACAAAATCATTATTAAAAGTACCATCAAAAATTGATTTGGAAAGAAAGAAATTTTTAGATGAAATTCTTAAAGATGTTGATTTAGATAAAATTGCTAACATTGATTTTGATACAAATGAAAATGAAACTAATATAGAACAACAGGAATTGATTAATGAAAATGATAATAAAATAAATAAAGAAATTAATTTAAATGAGAAAATTAAATATAATCTACCAATGATGGGTATAAATACATTTCATGAAAAATTTAAAATAGCTGATGCATTAGCTAGAACATCAATGATGACATCACCGGCAGCTAAAAGACGTTTAGCAGCACGTAAAATTGAAATGGAACTTGATTTTGGTCGAATGAATACAGATTCAAGTGATTTTGTACCACCAAGAGATTTATTATTATATCTTGTGAGGTATGTTTTATAAATTGGTATAGTGAACTTGAATTGTACTAATATCAAAAGTAAACATTTATTAATGTGTTATATTTGCCTTATACTATTAAATTATAACTATGAATTTTACTTAAATTATACAATATGATTTATCTGGCATACTTGAATTATTATATTCATGATTGCTATTTACATTGATTAAATTTAGAAAGTAAGGGCAACGCACGTAAGCTATAATATTTTCATTATAAAGAATTATTTACACTATGACATGAATAAAATCTATTATTAAATTTGTATTGACTTAATATGCAAATAGATCTTATCTTATTTGCACATATTTATTAGAAAATTGTATTGTTTTAACACTGTAAAAAATTTGAATATTCTTAAATGCTTATCATAACTTTTTTTTATTAAATACAATAATATAGCATGAATTAATATTGTATGCAACTAGATACGAGTAATATATGTGTATAATAGGGTGGACCGCTGATTTGTTTTTGTCAGAACTGAGGCAGGAAATGTACAAAAGTGCAATTGAAGTACAAGATACATACGCAAATTGATCCGATTATTTATTTTTTACAATTGTAAGGGGGAAAGTGAAAATGGTTGTATTTATATACGATCACAGGGTAGAGTAATTTTTTTTTAATTTGATTTCAATGATACCAGTATAGATATTGTAATTGTGCAGTTGAGGGGCATTTTTAATACGAGTATTATAATTATATGTAATATTTTCTTTCAAGATATTCAATATTTTGTTATGGGAATTATAAGAGAAATGTTTTTGTAATTGTAGCTTTCTTTGAAAATTTTGAATTCCGAAGGCCCAAGCGCTTATTGGAGACCTAATTTGGTTTAATGTTTTTTTTTTTTGAATTTTTATTTCTTTAAGCAAATAATAAATATGTAGGAATTTTACAAACAAAACAAACCCCAAGCGACCCACTCTACATTACAATCAAACCAATTGATTATAGATTTGTACACCCACTAAACTACTTTTTGTTTTATTCAAAAAAAAAACTTTTCCCCTAAAATATAATTTAAGCAATCTAATCGATATGGCAATGAAATGTTTCAGTTTTCTTTCATTTTTTCGTTTCCGTCTTTTTCTTTTACATAAAATTTAAAATATTGTCATTTTGTTGTTATTTTTCTTAATTTTAATTTGACAAGATTATTTAAATTAAGTAGTGTGAGTTGTAGGTAAAAAACAATTGCATATTATGTAAACAGCTGCTATGTAAACAGGAACTAGAAAATTTTCATTTCTAAATCATTAATTTATTAATAAGTAATTAAAATTAATCATATTTACTCTGTGTGTATTAAAATAATTTATGTGATTTAAATTAAAATAAAATTTTTAATTTTAACACAACAATTTAATTTAATTGCATATTTTCTATATCTTAAAAATAAAATTAAAGCGCATAGCGCTTATTAGCTTTGTGTGCTAAACTTCAGCTTTTAAATTTGTTTAGTGAAAGCTATTCTAGCTAAAAGTGTGAACATAGCATTGAAAACAGTTAAATTTTCTTTAGGAAGTAATTTTTATTAATTTTTTTTCTTCCTTTTTTTTTATAAAAACTTGAATTTTAATTAAAAAGAAAAAAAGAAACGATAAAAATTTGCGGTAGGCAAAAGAACATGTAAATTTGCATAATTTATTTTCTGAATGAACGTGATCTTTTAAAAATATTTCCGGTTATTGTAGTTTTTTTTTTTTTTTATGAAAAGAAATTTTACTCTCTGTTGTTTTTTATGAATAATAAATTTATTAGAGATTTAACCTTCTTAGATTTTTAATTATTTTGCATACATACATATTTATATATATATGTAGACACGTATTTTTATTATGAGAAAAAATTTATAAAATTTTGTTTTAAATTTTTTCTTGGTTCTATGTTGTTCATACAAACACGTTATATTAATATTTTCAAATTTGGAAAATACAAGAATTTTAATATTAATTTAAGCATTTTTTATGTCTAGTACGAACGCTTTATTTTCAAATTTGAAACATTTAAATTTAAAAATACCTAACACAAGAATGTAAAATAATTTCACGAAGTCTGCGGGAATTCAGAGTAGTTAAATTAGTGTTATGTGATAAGTACGAAAGAAATATTTCAATAAATATTTCTTTAGCACTTGATTTATATATGAAATTAAAATTATAACGTGTCAACTCTATGATGTCTATGCGAATGAATTAAATACTAAACTACGATAATCTTAGTATACATTCTTTAAATTTTCAAATAATTAATTGTTTTTCACATATTTCGCCTTAAATTTCAGCAAGTTATTCAAGCTGCAATATAATTTTCTAAATTATGATACTGTTATCCAATAGGAATTTCTTCTATCTTAATTATTTTTAACGAAAATCATGAGAAATTGAATATAGTCACACACGGTTTGACGTTTTATAGCAGCTGTAAACGAGTCGCAACCATATTCAAATTTAATAGAGTTTTGTTAATTAACATTAGTTTTCTATAAAATACTTTACGTATGATTGTAAAAAATTTTTTGGAAATATAGGTGCTTGCAAAAATTTTCCAAATTTCTGTTGTTCTTTGAAAACTTTTTAGTACGTATAGACTTAAAGTGAACTTTTACTGAGGCTTTTACTTAATTTACTTGTAATTATAAACTGAATTACAAATTTAGGAAGATATTTTCGTGAAATTAATTTTCGAAATACAAAACTGTTATTTTAAATTTTTAATAATTTTCAATTTCAAATTGTGATTATTTTTCGTAACAGTGCAAATAAGATGAATACGTAAAGCGTAAAAAAAAAAAAATTACTTAATATAGCAAATATTTTTAAAGGTCGGTCAAATTTTCAGTGAAGGTCTTTAATATTTAATTATACTACAATAAAATGATAAGCAGTTCTTTTTATCTACGCAAATATTAGTCTTTTGTCTAACATTTTCGTAAATTAAGCATGTATTGCAAAAATATTATCTCTAATCTAGATTTTGCTAATTATGTGTTTGTAAAGTCTTTATTAAAGTGGACATTTTTTTTATGTTATAGAGCGTGTTTCGCATAAGGTTGCAAATAATTTCAGGGATGACTCTTTAACAAATTTCCAGCAGATATATTTTTCTGCATATAAATAAGCAGTTACGACTTCGGAACCACACAGCATAGATTTACTATCGGTGGCTTTCTTTACAGACAATTGACTGCCCTTATTTTCAATCTTACAATTAATTTGATCTGAACCAAACAAAAAATTCCGGTTGAAAGAATTTCAAAAAAAAAATTCTGATTTTGACGAGCTTTATCTCGAAAACTATGGCTTAGATTATTTTCCACCTTATTATATATATAAACAAGGTTTAATTATACATAGAGAAGCTTTAAAAATTTCGTAGGAAAATATTGTATATTGTGTAGTTGTGTTATCCCATTATTTATTCAATAAATAATTTTATTAATAGAAATTTAATCTACAAATATAATTTTAAAAGTTATTTTTGATTTAATTTTAAATAATGACAAAAATTTACGATACCACTTGTTTATCATCTTTGATTGGGTGTATGATTAAGAACAAGATTATATTCTTAATCAATAATGTTATAGACATACTATAGACATACGAACATAAATTTTTAATCTCTTACAATGTGTTAAAAAGATTTGAAATGTTTTGTCTTTTTTTTTCAGGAAAAAAAAAGAAAACGACCTTTAATCATTTTATCGTTCAAAAAATTTTAATTTCTTATCAAATTTTCAAAATTAATGTCAAAGTTTATCAAATTTTAGTTTGAAGGGTTTTTTTTTCTAAAAAAGAATACATATACATATGATTATATATATTAGAACACAATCAACAAATTTAGCCAACTGTTTATTGTAAAAATTTCTTATCCGCTTTAAAAAAAACATTTGGATTTGTAAATTTAAATATGTTTATATGTATGTGCGTTAGAACATGTGTTATTTTTTCAATTAAAATTAGAAGAACGTAATATTATTAAAAGATAACCTTTCTTTGAATTTTATAAGTACAATACTGGTTTTTAAAGTCTGAGTCAAAATTGTTATACACAAATCATTGGAAAATTTTAATGATTGAGTTTACATACTCACTCATATATACAAGTTTACACATAAAGTCACAGTATGGTAAAAGTTAAATACTTTTCGATTGAGAATTGCCAGAAAGCGCTTCAACATCAATGCAGTTAATATTATTGATTGTAATTACCCCCCCCCCCCCCCCCTGGTTTGAATTGTAATCGTAGTTTTCTCAATCTGAAATTTGGAAACATTACACAACTGTATTTACAATATCCAGATTACATTACTGTATTTACAATATCCAGTGGTTAAAGATAATACTGCCTAAATTGTTAGAACATTTTGCAAGGCAACGCATCACAAGATCGTGTAATATATAAAAAAACAGTCGTCCTTGTAGTTGCGAATTGATGTTAACTTAAATTACTTCAGATAAAATGCTTAAATTAAATGATCTAAATGCTTAAATTACTACATTAGAATTTATAAATTTTCTATTAATTTATTAATTTTAATTAATTCTTGATAGTTATAGACAATTATAGTGCTCAATATCGCCAATACTTATACTAATATTCTGAAACTTTGTTTTGAATAATTTTTTAAATTAGAAATTTGCGAAATCATCATTTTATTGAGCGTATTGCTTTCCGAATAAAAAAGAACATCAAGTCAATAAAATGAACAGCATTTCAAAAGTAATACGTATATTTGATTAATATTTGTTTCAAAAATTTATGAAACATTGTAATTTTTCGTTCAAGTGCAAAATTCATTTTTGGTGTGTGAGCTGAGTACAGAGTGTGAAGAAATATAAATGCCATTTGATTATTTTCAACTTTGTTTTTTCATACATAAATATTTTTTTCTTTTATTTTTCTTTTCTAGATTAATTTATGGCCCAAGCGTCTTTTTGATATTATGATACTATCAATAACGATATTTTTTAA